CATTGTGACCTCTGCCCGCGGCCTCTGCGCTGGCTGTCGGGCGCAGCAGTGACTGAGGAGCGGGGCTGCAGGGCCCTGCTTGTCTGCACGGGAAGGCTCTTGCTCAGGGCTGGGCCGAGGGCTGGCTCCTCCCCAGCAGAGACTTTTGCCAGGAGGGCTCGGTTCCCTCGCATGGCTCCCCAGCTCTGAGGCCTCCCAAGCAGAGCCCAGGCCTTCCTCCGCTGGCTGGGGGCGTGTCCTTCCGCAAGGGCTCTGCACGGAACTGGAAGAGCCCAGCAAATTCTGCCGGCCACCTGGCACCGCCCCTCAGGCTGGCAGGTACCGGCCATGCCCTAAAGAGCCGTCCGGAAGAATTTGCAGGGGCACCAAAGTCCAGCAGAGGAAGGTCGAGCCTGAGCCAGCCCCTGGGAAGGGAAGCCAGGCCCAGGAACACGCTTCCCAGCGGTGGGAATTAGCCATCGGAACGGCTCAGCGAGAGTCGAGGCCAGGCCACCTGGCACCGCCCCTCAGGCTGGCAGGTACCGGCCATGCCCTAAAGAGCCGTCCGGAAGAATTTGCAGGGGCACCAAAGTCCAGCAGAGGAAGGTCGAGCCTGAGCCAGCCCCTGGGAAGGGAAGCCAGGCCCAGGAACACGCTTCCCAGCGGTGGGAATTAGCCATCGGAACGGCTCAGCGAGAGTCGAGGCCACGGGCGGCTCTGGCACTAGCAGCTTTGTCTGGATCCCTGGGGGCGTTTCTCACCGCACAGCTGGGGGGGTCCCAGGGCCCGGTCAGGAGGCGAGACCGGCCGAGCACAGGGCTCCTTGTGGCGTCTCGGGGGAGCGTAAGAAAACCCAGTGGCCGGCGGCAGTTGGTTCTCCTGCGCTCCGGCCCGGGGCGGGGCGGGGCCGTGTGTCACCCCCAGAGACGGCTGCAGGCCGAGTGGGGTGAAGGGAGCCCTGGGACCCCTGGGCTCTTTAACCTCGCGGAGAAGGTGGGACACGAGCAATGGCTGATGGGCGATGCCCAGCCTGCCCTGGCTGGCAGCGAGCCCAGGGCTGCAGCAGGGCGGGCGCTGAACCCTTGGAAACAAGGGCCGGGGGGAGCCGCGTCCTCTGCCCCAGGTGGCTCCAGACCCCGCCAGGCTG